ACAATGAGTGAACTTTGTCTTAACCTTGGATTATGAATGTCTCCATGCCTACGAAAACTTTTCTCGTATGCTTTTTAACTGAAATGTGAGCTCCAGTGCTTGCAAAAGTTATACACAATACAATACAATACAACCCTACCCCTCGTGTGGACAAAAACAATCTGTGATGTCATNCCCATCCGGTCTTGATACCAAGCCAGAGATGGAAAGATATGATCTATCTACTTTCTATGTTTACTCTGTTTTCTGTTGTATTCACTTACCACACACACAGATACACCTTGCTCACCCACAACTGATTCAAATCCAGTCAATAATGGATTGATCCGAGCAGATGAATCACAGAAAATAAGCATTTTTGTCACATACTCGTTTCTCTAGAAAGTATGCTGGTGGTTTAATAGGACGACCTAAACCATTTCTCCTGTTATCTCTGTTTTATTACCCAAATTTGACTTTGTACACTAAATGGTTTCAAACAGCGTAAGATGTGCACATTTACACACTAACAAGAGAGACTGAAGGTGATCTATTTAATGCGTCTCTTGGTTTTTGGCTTATAACGCTTATAACGCCACAAAGTTCGATTCTTGGAGAAAAATGAGCACCGAAAGAGTGAATCCAAACCGCTTCCTGACAAATTGATTCTACTGGTCAACAGTGGTTTTATTGAATTTCGCTGGTTTACTTCTCAATCCCCGTGGACAGTGAGTGAAGTAAATACATAATACGAACGTGTATTCCACAGACATTAGTCCAAAATATCGACGACGATGACGATTTTGATGATGGTGACGACGAAGAAGAAAAAGACGACGACGACATCAAAGAGGAATAAAAACAGTTTCACGAACAGATAGACGAGGCAAAATATAACTGAGCACTCACCTTGTGTGCTTCCACATATTGATTCCACATCGTTTCATGTGATCTGGCACCCAGATGCCGCGTTGCTGAGGCATTTTCTACTGTGGTGCCATTTGAGAACTGGTACCCACTTCCAACAGACTGATGATGTAATCGTTCCAGTCGACGTTCTGCAGACTCCAACCACTTGGACAGATTGTCTTGGATCTCGGTCAAGCGATTTTGTTGGGTGATCACTTGTGCAGATCGATCAATCAACTGTTTTTTTTCGAGAAGTGTAGTAGTGAATAGAGGAGGGAGAGGAATGGACTAATAATATATTGGTGCATAAAAACGAATAGAAAAGAAATCGGATCGACGGCTCTACCTAATCACGGTACCACTTTAAGGGTGGGGGGAACTGGAGTGAAGGAATAAAAATGAAACAAGAATGACTATCCTCCAAGCGGATGCGTGCATCTTTTCCCAAAATCCATGGTGAATCAGTCTGTTGATTTTCTGACCCAAAGAACTTATCTGTGACGAACAATAGAATCGCCCTGGCTGATAGCAGGTTCATTATTGCCATGAGCATAGATTCGCACGTGAGGATTGTTCGATTTCCTCGAATATTCGTGTTTGTTTGTGTATCCGTACTGGCACGGAAACAATATTTGATCTGCTTATGTTATCTCAATTGATTCTTAGAATCTATCTCTCAATTCCAACCGCAGTGTCCTTGTTCATCGTGTAATGTAGCTACTGGTAATTTCAGTTTGTCCTTCAGTCTAAACAGCCATTAGGCATGCATTTCTGTGCCTTGCTTTTGGTTGCCGTCTTTTGGTTACCGATTTCGATGAACGCCACTGTTTACAACACCCAGCTATTCACTCAGTGTCTCTAACCCTCGGTTACGATCATCCTGAAGTTCCTAGCCAGGGAGCCTAAGAGGACCTATGTGACCTAGACTCCCGGTTAAGGTCACTGGCAATTTAGTTACTGTACAACAGTATAACCGAGGGATACATGTCCGACTGCAAGACACAAGTGAATCCGAACAAAGAACACATCGGTGCACGCTTGCCGTGTTGTGGTCTTTGTTCAAGTTCATTTCGGGAAATAATTGTTGCAACTTTCTCAAACAAGTGAATCCATTGGGTTCTAGTGATACCCAGGGACGAACAGAACGTTCCCATGCTTGACCGAGTAAATAATTGCAAGCCACAGGGGATAAATAACAGAGGTGAAATTTCGGGCCAGATTCGAGTTAAACAGGTTACACATTGAGATAGGAATGGAGACCGAGTGATATTGCCGAAATTTATCCCCGATACTGTATGTGACGACACTTTCAACTCTATCCACGAATCTTTCGGTGTACTGCAATGGATTAGCGGAAAGTGGTGTTTTATATGATAGAAATATATCTCAGCAATTTCCTTCACGAGCGACAAACACATAGGACCTCCTTCATTCTCCCACATATATATTCTCCAAATAAAACTATCTCCGGTCAGAACGACCGAGTGAATGACACAAAACGGTATGCCAGGTTTCAGAACGTAAGTAAAGAGCAGAAACTGTGATGAAACCAGGTGACAAAAGTATATGACACCCTGCTATGGCTCGCTGCCGCATAGAACATTTTTCGTAAGAACCACATCAACTATTCGGTGCACAACAAGTTGACTATGTGGATTTAACAACTGACATCTGGAATCACGTAATTCGTGTGTACTGGATCTCGTGGTATATTCTAGTTGTCGAGCCCCTCCCGATGACCTTGGTGTACACAGGATGTCGTTAACTGAAATGCAGTGTGCAACTGGATAAGAAACAAATAAATATCGGTTCCTGCAAGACGTAGACTAAATTCGAACATAACCTAAACAACGTGTTGAGTCAATTACTGAATACAGTTGTTCGTTTTTCGCCCTTTGACCGCATGAACTCATGCTGGCATAAAGGTATATAAAGTATACATAACGAACCACACTCAAGAACATCTCATCAAACTGACCTCTTCCAACCGCTGACTGATAGATTTCCACCGTTCGCGTAAATCCATCAATGCCCGTTTCGCCTTGGACCCAACACCCTCATGCACACTGACATCCAGGCTGCTGGCCACCAAACCGCCAGAGATCATGGCCGTTCGAATGGTCTGATCGTCCGGGCCGGACTGAATCTGATTGACCAGAAGTAGATTGTTCATTGCGAGTGCGGCAACGGATGCAGCCCGGCACACACGGTCAGTTTTGTCACTCAGACTAAACAAATTCGATTGTTTCCTTTCCAATTCGATCACCGTGGACTGGTCGAAGTAAGTAAGCATGGGAGATTGAAATGTTAAATAATCGACTTTAATTTACCGCTGTTGCCTTCAACGACAGACCAAAAGAAGATATGAAAGTTAAAAGAATGAGTGAGCAGTCATAAGGTTGGAGAATATCATTGTTTCGTTTGCAACATGGACTGTGAGCTAAGGGTTTAGTTTCACCTGAAGTGTTTTATTACAAGACAACTTGAAATTGTCAATAGCTGTTGGGCCTGCCGTTACGAACAGAGGTTGGCAGTAGACGAACGGGGTTTAAATAGTGATACCTTCGTCATATCGCGTAAGTCTGGCAATATACGTGTACAAGGTAATCATGGCCACAGACCAAAGCAAATGTTCGACCTCCAAGGAGTTCAGAGGCTGCAGTGTGTACAACACATGTTATCGAGTGGCCTTAGTCGGTGCGCCTCGTTTAACCGGGGTCAAACGGAGTATAACCTAACTTGGCGGTGCTAAAACCTAGGGCGGTGGACTCGGTCATATTGGTCGTGCTAGTCTTCTTGATTGGGTACCAGAGCATCTTTTAGGGATATTAGGTGATGTGGCGGGATGTATGTAAAGTGGTTGGTATGTCTGATCACTTTCTATACATATATATGAATGACTTGCATTCTGTACATTTGTTTTTGATTGTTTGTTTTGCTTCCACCTCATTTCTTTGTGTCGTACATTTTACACTTTCTAACACGTTTGAATCCAAACTGTGTACCAAACAATCATGGTAAAATAATCTTTATAAAAACGTTCCATGATTTGCATGTGGACCGAATACTACCAGGTTGCCCACGCCAAGGCATATGAACTTTCTTGAGGAATCCACAGTTGGAGTCTTCGGATAGCCAAAGCTTAACCCACAAGGCAGGGGGCGGTGTGTAAAAACTGCAATCCATTGGGGACCTGTGTCTAGTTCATCGGACCATACGCCTTTCGGACGGGGTCAAAAGTCCAAGGTACCCAATACAACTCGATGCCCAATCGAGCCGGTAACC